CTGACAAGGCAAAAGTGAATGCCCTTTGACAGAGCAACATTCCTGACAATTGCCAATCTCTCTTAATGCTATTTCCACGGTATATAGTGGTGGATGAAATTCAGCTCTCTTTGGTTGGAGTGAGCTTCTGGGATCCAAGCAAGTGGTAGGAAGGGTGTGTTTTGAGGAAAGGTTTATGTTTGGGCTATATATTCAGGGTATGCTTTACACTCAATAGAGTCAGATGGCATGTTTGAGTTTCTATTTAATTTTAATGTTGTCAATCAATATTTATTGATCATTTCAATGTTTTATTTTTAATGTCTTATTACAGGTATTTTCAAATGTGGGTAAAACATACATAAATTACTATAATCAATATCCATGTATGCAATGTCCAGCTTCAGCCATGGGAAAGCTTTGTGTTCTTTATTTTATTTATTAAGATCAAGATGCAAAAAGTTTGGTTAAATAGAGACAATATGAGACTAGCATCAGAAATTTTTAAGCCTTTTTAGGAGAGTGTTTAGCAATCACACTTTTCTTTCCAACCAAATAAAACTAGATAAAATACTCAAACATCAGTCCTTAGCTTTGTTCATTTGGGTGTGTTAAAACTGAAAGATGGGTTAATTATCAATTTTACTAAAAAGAAGAAACTAAGAATGGTCCTGATTTGACTGCTACTATATACCTTTTCTTGTACTTTTCTCACATTGAAAAATGTGTAAGATACAAATGACATGTGAATACACATGCATGCTTTAATAAACTGAATTTATACACACATAGATACCTATATAAATACGTTTATCTACATGGATACAAGTACCAGTTTACTACTGAAGTTGGCAAAATTTTTGAAAATAAAATCTTCTGAATATCAGACAATTTTCATTTAGGTTTCAAGCACCATAGCTTAGTTTCCAACCAACCACTATACTCCTGAGAAGTCCTGAAACTCAAAACCTCACTCACACACCTTTAGAAAAGAAAAGAATAAACCACCAGGGTTAGGAGGTTCATTTGAAGGTGAGACAAATGGTGGTTTTAATATAATAAAGAGTCTAGGCCAGTATCTCCTTAAAGATATTTCTATGTTTAGTAAATTCAGACAAATTCAATTAAAATTAAAAGTGACTTGAAATGCTTACCAAGTTGGAGGTATTGTCGCTGAGAATTTAGAGATATTTTCTCTAAACTGCCACTTTATGTGAGATGTTTTTCAACATAAGGGCATCACAAGTAGATCTGATTGTCCCATGAAGAGCTCCGGTGTCATGTTTCCTCCAAAGAATGAGGAATAACACAAGAAGAGTAAAGGACAAGGCCTGCATTACAAATGCCCAAATCCATGGCCTCTCCTGTGGGAAAAAAATCGAAGATGAAACTTGGTGCTTTTGGTACTATGTAGAGCCTTGAAGTAATTTTATTTCTTCCTCTTTTTTTCCCTAAACCTTTCTTCTTTGACAAAGTTCAGCTTGACTTTCTAAATAAGATTAATGCTTATGGTCGACACAGATTATTCTGATGTCAGTCAGGGCACTGCTCTTTCCTGGGTTACTAAAACAACGATGGGACTGGCAGGTATAAAACACACTTTCCAACACAGGCAGACAGTGAGTTCAGTTTGGAATCTGAATCCAAATTAGGACCCATATTAATGGCAAATGGTAAAAACCTTTGCTTTAGTTTTCTAATTAAGATTAATGATAGCAGTGTGAAGAGCTGGTATCAAGACCCTGGTATTAACAGCAATCATTTTTCAACTGTGGCAAAGATGCTTTTCTTTTGAAGTAACTTCTAGTCCAAAATAAGAGTTGGCAAGAACGTAGTGCTGAAAGAGGCAGAAGATTCCATAGCAGCATTTCTTAAGACTGAACCACAAACGCATTGAACATACAAAAATCTCAGGAGAAACTGTCTTTCAGGCAGCACCTACCCTGCCAAAACCTGCTCTCCAGAAAAAGAGCTCAGCCTTAGGGAAAACAAGGGGCTCCATGTTCTTGAATGAGATTCTATTGAAAGTTATAAATAACTGGTAAAAATAAATGTTTCCAATTAAAGTGCTTCTGGATATCTGTTGATTGTGAGTGAGATGATTTACACAGAGTGCACAGCCGGAGCACAGACACACCATCTGGAATTACTAACCGAGAAACCCATAAACTCATCGATGTATTACATGACTTACTGTCAGGCCTCCATGGAGTAGGTATCATCAGATTCTAAAGCTTCGCATTTAAACCACTTTAGAACTCGCGTAAAACAGAACATGTTTCATTCAGAAAAAAAGCCTCCCTTTTTGGACTGTGTTGTGTATGCTCTGAAAACAAATTCCTCAGAGGGAGATGAAAGAAAATCTGGGGAAATAGCAACCAGTAAGTTTTTCTCTCCCAGCTGTTTTGTCAGTTTTAGACAACCACAGAAATTATGCAGTGGGTTTTGTTCCACAATCAGTAATACACGTAATGTCTGAAAATACAGACCTCTTTGGAAGGATGACTGCTTGGTGCCCTTAGGATTTCGAGCTAGGTTTTTAAATTTCTTTTTACAATTGCTTGAACACAAGAGAGCTTTTGTGTGCCAAGACATACATGGTCTTTAAGCAAACAAAAGTGGAAAATTTTAGCACATTCCACATTAATAGAAACAGAATTGAATTTGCCTGAGTTCTGTTTATGAATGGCATTATTTATACAGCTGTGAATTGTATCGAAACACGACAACGTGGGGAAAAAAATCTACATTCATTGAATTATCCAGCTGATTTCTGGTTTTTTCTTTTTAATGCCTACTCATCATAAAATCGAAAGCATCAAGTTTTTAAAATATTGAATTTTTAGAAGACGTTTCAAAATCATTTCTCTTCTGGAATAGCTGCTTTTCAAATTGAGCTATGACCTTCTAAAATGAACTGTATACATGAATTTATTTTATTAACATATCTTATCCTTTCCTCCCTTAAAGTGTGAAGACCCTCTTGTTCTCTAGCCCTGAGAGAGGGAGGAATCCCATTCTCCAACCCCGTAGTCTCCCCTGATATCGACTGGCTATAAAGAACCTACAGGTCACCATCTGAAAATCAATTCCTATAGCATAACAAGACTCTAGTAGCCACTCCTTCCGAAACGGGCAAAACAAGGTGTCAGAACATTTCATTTCTTCTCAAAAGTAGAAGTGAATTCATGACAATTTTTGAGAACTCAATATTGTATTGGGAGGATCAAAATCAAAGGTAATATTAAATGGCGTGATCAAAATCATCATCTGCATAATCAGTGCCCAATGCGAATCTCAGCTTCATCTCTGGGAAATGTATAGTAAATTGGCCTGTTCACCCCTAGCAATGGCATTTAAGGACTATAAACAGGGATGCTCTGCTGGGAGGAAGAGCAGTTAAGAAGAGCACGTGGACGTGAGCAGGAGACAGCATGTTTTGGACGACTTCGGGTGGCAGCAGTGAGCCTTGCTCAGCTCTAAACTGGAAGTTCCATCTTCTCTCTGTCTCCATCATTGTCATACCCCACAGATACCAAAAAAGTGGACATTCTTGAGTTTCTGAATAACAACAAACTTTCTATGCATAAGCTGTTGACCTTTTATGCAGTTAGTTAATTGGCAGAACTGACTGTTAACCTATTGACTTGCTTTTTTTTTTTTTTAATCAGCTTTTTCCAGCAGTATAGGGTCTTTCTCGATGGGCATCTGCCCATATCAACTTTGTTCCATGACAGTGGGGACTTTCTGTTGCATTTTATTTCTTTACCCAAAATTTCCAAGTTGCATGCTCTGTAAATTCATCTTGGTGTAAGTTTTCTATTGCTACTTTAACAAATTCCACAAACTTTTTAACTTAACACAAATCTATCATCTATGGTTCTGTGAGTCCAACATGGGTCTTACCAGACTAAAATTGAGCTTTTGGCAGGATGGCTTTTTTTTTTTTTCTTTTGGCTCTAGGGGAGAATCTATTTTCCTGCCTTTTCCAGCTTCTAGATGCAACTCAGTCCTTGGCTAATGGTCTTCCTCCTCCATCATCAAAGCCAGAAACCTTACATCTCTCTGACCCTTTCTGTTTTTGCCTCATCCCCTTCTCTGACCGTGGCCAGGAAAGACTATGTTCTTAGAGGCTCAATTGAACATGGTGAGCCCAACCAGATAAAACAGATAATCTCCCAACCTCAAGGTTCTAAGCTTAAATCACATCTACAAAGTCCCTTTACCAATGTAGGTAGCATATTCACAGGTTCTGGAGATTATGTTGTGGACGTCTTTGGGGGTTATCATTCTTCTTACCATCTCACCTGAAAAATTCTCCGGAATCTCATTTGCTGTGACTTACCTATCTTGCCCTCAAATCACTACCAAAAGTGGGGATTCAGTCTTTGTAATAGAACTGAATGATATTTGGGGAAGATCACCATATATACATCTACAACTAATTATGTTTAAATGACAGAGAAAATGACTGCGTTGATCTACCAATAAAAGAAAATTGTTGCTGTATCTTCAATACCCTCATTATCTTAGCTTAGCTATGCCCTTCTAATCAGCTGCTCAAATAGCTATGGGTATATAAATGTTATCCCCAATTCCTGAAGTTATTCAGGTAAATAACTGGCTTCAATATCAGGTTCCTCCTTTTCTTTGATGTCATGTCTGTTTACTTCATATTTTGACCTGATCTTTCAATTCTTAATTTCTGATGGTTTCCCAGAATTTTAATTTCCTTATTTTCTCTAATCTCTAATTTCTGTTCTCCAAGAAATTGTTCCTCTGCTGAGCTGGGCGTTCTCACCTTTAAAATCTGAATATTGCCCTCCAGGTAGTATCTGGATGTTCTCTCCACTTAATTCTGCACATACTGTTACAACCTCCAGCTCTATGGTTGTTCCATAAATTAGTGTCCCCAAAAGGAAACAGCTGTCATTCTCACATTAGGATAATTCAAAGAGAATTTAATAAAGAGATTATTTACAAAGTTTGAGAACACCACAAGAGACTATAGAATAACAACAGACTGGTAAAAGCAGAATTGCTACAAGTCCTAGTAGGCCCAAAAAACAAGATAGAGAAATGGTTACTGGAATACATAAGGTGAAAGTCAGTGGAGAAGGTCGCTACTGGAAGAGCAGTGAACTTCCCTGAGGGATACAGACAACCCAAGGTAATCTTGCAAAGAGGAAGTCAGGAGAAGAAATACACTTCCCCTTGGCTGAGCTCTACTAGAGTCCAGAAAGGCCATTGCTCTGATCCACGTGGGTGGGATATTGGCTTTAAGAGCAGAGAGAGAAAAAGTGGAGAGCAAGCTGAGAGGGACAATGGAAATTATCTAACAATACCTCCTTGGCCACAAGTATGTATTATGTATGTATTATGACCAATCTATTCTCACCCTGATTAACTACATAAAATGTACTGACTGACAGACCTTAATATATATCACCTTTAATTTCATGTTTCCATTAATAATGTGGTGGGCTAAATACTAAAGGCATTCCAGCCTATAAACCAGGAGTAACATATTCATTAATTTTTATACTTATACGTAAGATTTAAAGGTTAGTTGTTCATTTACTTAGATATAATTTGTCTTATGAAAACTCCTGTCATACAATTTTTAATGGAGTTAATTTTCTCATGTAAAAATGAAAGAGTAAAATAATAGTGAAACTTAGGAACAAGTGAATATGAGAAAAGACATTCTTACTTTGCCATCAATATGGAAACATTTAGCTTAAAATAATTAGATTCCAGAGACATCAAGAGAAGATATCTATTAGTATATTCATTGCTGTCATTTGCTATAGGAAGAACTCTGCTTCATTCACCTTTGTACCCCTAACATCCAAGCTGGTCGGTGCCCAGCATGTGGAAAATGTCTTATAAATGTGTTTGTTCAATTATGCAACTTCTGTCATGCTCATGTAACATGTACATATGCATAACTTATCTTTTCTATTAGTCATAGACATTGACTTCATATGTCTACTAGTGCAGATGGGCTTCCATATTTGACCAAACTCATTCATTACATAGTTATCACAATCTCTGTTATCTAATCCATGAAATACACTGTCTTCTTGTATTAAGTAAAGCTCTGTTGTCTGCTCCTCTAACTGGCCTTACCACTCCCATCTTTTCCCATTCCAGTCGCTCTAAGGTCTGATTAATGGCTCCAAACATGGCCCCTTCTCTGCTGAAAAATGCTCTTTGATTAGTTGTACACTGCCTCCTGAATTAAGAGCATATCCCTTCCAGAAACATTCAGGATCCTCTGCTGTGTGGCCTTATTTTTCCAGATCAATATCCACTACTTTATTATACAAAACCATATATGTGCAAAGTAGAAAAAGACACC